TTTTCTCATTATTGGGAAAATATTTTGATAATAACAATTTTTGAATATTTAATTGTATTCTAGTTTTGTTCATAATGAAAGCAATTCATCCCTATCACCATTAAAATTATGTTAGGAGGAAAAAAGCCTTCATGCCTGTTGCTGCCCATGCATTGGTATTTATGTAAGTCAGTACCTTGCTATTGGAAGGAACTATTTTGCATGTAGAGCTGTATGTTTGAAGGCTGTTTTTGAATGGACATTTGCACTATGAATGATTGTTTGCAGGAGATAATTGGCATTGGAATAATATTGCCAGCTTCCATTGTAGTTTGTTGGCTTTCTGCACTAAATCCTATTGTTTAGAAAATCTAGGAATGACAGTCCTTGTTGAACTTGGCTATATTTCAAAATTATTTTTAAGATAAATTTTATGAATATCCATAACTTACAGAAATGTATGTGCACACTACCTAAACATTCTCATACAAAATGTGATGCTGCCTTGTTTTAAAAATGTAAAGTGAAAGCCTAGAACAGTGTTGGTGAACCTTTTGTGGCTCTCGTGCCAAAAGCGGGGGGAGCACAGGGGGTGTGCCACACCCATAATGCTAAGCGCACAACCCCAGCACAAAAAAGCGACCCTACGAGCAAACCGGAAGTGACTTCCAGTTTGCTTGTAGGGTCGTTTTTTGCCTTCCGGAGCCTTCAGGGAAGCCTCCAGAAGGCTCCTGAATGCTTTGGAGGGCTAAAACCGGCCCTACGAGCAACCTGGAAGTGACTTTCGGTTTGCTTGTAGGGTCGTTTTTTGCCCTCCGGAGCCTTCAGAGAAGCCTCTTAAAGGCTCTGGAGCAGTAAAACCGGCCCTATGAGCAAACCGGAAGTATGTTCCTGAATTTCCGGTTTGCCTGTAGGGCCGGTTTTTCACGCTCCAGAGAATGAAAAATGGCCAGCTGACACAGCAACACCTTGTGTGCCTGGACAAATGGCTCCGCGTGCCATAGGTTCGCCATCGCAGACCTAGAAAATCAGTTGAGGAAAAGCACTAGGTTGTTAAAATATGAATTACTTGTACTGAAGTGAGATCAAAATAAGTTACTTTTATGTGGTAAAAATGTCAATACAATAATTTGAATTTGCACCATCTTATTTTGTACTAGATTGGATTTTTAAATAATTATAAAAGATGTTGTTTTATATTTTATAATTTATTTTAAATAGTCTTATGTACTTCAGTACATGAATAAAGTTTATAGAGTTAAATAAATTAAATAAAATATAGATTTATACTGTAGCTATCTTAAATTTTCTTTCTTTCACAAGAAAGAAACTTCTGGCAAGGAAGGAGACAGTATTGTTAAAACTTTTATTTTACACAAATCAGAGTGTTTTTGCTCAGTGGAAATATTATATATTTATTTTGACCCATTGCCTTGTATTTTTTTTTCTTTTTGTCCCCTTTCTCTGCTTGATTTTTTTTTTTTTTTTGATAAAGGTATATTTAAAATACAGAAAGTATCTTTGGAAACCAGAAATGTTTTGCTACATCTTTTAACATAACTAAATTATGTTGGCCAGCTGAGTTTACCCTTTTTTAAAGCCATTTTTTGCCCTCCCCACGCCCCAGAGGCTTTATAGGAGCCTGGGGAGGGTGAAAACAGCCTGTCCCCGTCTCCCCCCCCNGCGCGAAAGCAATAGATATCATTACATGATTCATTCCCCTCCCCTTGGTACCCCAGTCCATAGTCCAATCATATTTCACTCAACTGTCAGGTGGGAGACATCTTCAAAAATCATCATCAGGATGGAATGCTGGACAGTTGGCCTCGGCGGGAAACTCCCCTTCTTCCACATGTGCAAACGGATGGAGAGAACAACTCCCAATTAACAGTCCTCCTGCACAGATTGTTTCCCTCACCCAAATACCATGCCCTTTCCGAAAAGCAAGCAGCAAAACAGGCTGATACCTGTGGTCACCTGGTCATGATTTGGGCATTTAACTACAGCTCATATTTAGAACCGCTGCAGCCATCTTGCAGTCCTGTGATGACAATTTGCAACCTTCCCAGCCAGCTTCCAACATAAAGTCAATATGGTGAAACCAGCAGGAAAGGTCACAAATTGTGATTACATGATGTCTCGCTTAATGACCATGGTGATTCATTTAAAGATTATGGCAGAAAGTTCATATAATTTGTTAAAGTCATGTGATGCCTTACTGAACACTCACCTCACTTAATGAATTTTCCTGTCTGAATTTTGGTCATAGGTCAAGGACTACCTTTAACAGGATAATAAGGAGTTGAATTTCAGGGTGGTTATTACTAAAGGATAATCTAGCTACAGTAGTTCATGTTGTGGAAACTTGCTTTATATATTTCTGTAAGGTATACTAAATGAAGGTGTCCTAAATGATGACTTGGAAATTGCACCTAAACAGAATGTGGCAGTTTCTATTAGATACAGAGAATACAGGTAGTCCTTGACTTATGACCACAATTGAGCCCAACATTTTTGTTGTTAAGTGAGATGCTTGTTGAGTGAATTTTGTCCCTTTCTTTATGACCTTTCTTGCCACACTTGTGAAGTGAATCACTGCAGTTGTTAAGTTAGTAACATGGTTGTTAAATAAATCTGGTTTCCCTTTTTTGCCCTTTCCAGGCTCCGGAGGCTTTCCTAGAGTCTCTGGAGGGCGAAAATGGCCTCCCCTGTCCCTCCGGAAGCTGGAAACGAATCGTTTCTGAACTTTCGTTGGGCCCGTTTTTTGCCCTCCCCCGGCTCCAGAGGCTTTCCTGGAGCTTTGGGAGGGCGGAAATGGCCTCAGACTCACCCCTAGAAGAAATACCAAGCTCAGCTTGGAGGCGAGCACTGTGGTGCGCGTGGGGAGGGGAAGCGTGGAGGGGTTGTGAGGGCTGCACTTTGTATTATGGGTGCCAGTATGCATGCGCCCCTCCCGCATTTTTGGCACCTAACAACAAAAAGATTCGCCATCCCTGCATTACAAGATAGTTTACTTTATTTATTAGCCCTTGGGCCATATCAAACTGCAGAGTTCCAGACACAAATTATTACTAAAATCTGATAAAAACAATTTAAAATGAAATAAAATAGAGTTTAAAATCATATTGGAATAAAATACAATATCATATATACATAAATAAAATATGATAAAATTATATTTCAGTATCATCCCTATAATCTACCCCAATCAGTCTCACATATGCCGATTACTACAAGTTAATGTATGACTAACACTTGAGAAATCCTGTCACTAGCATAAATTTTTATTTCTTTCTTTTGTTCTTTTTTAATTAGTAATTAATTGTAATTGTGTTTAATTGATAATTAATTGTACTACATATCCATGTTTCATTTGCTCTTCATGTTGGAAAAAGAGAGAAGGACATGTATATTTTCATAAACTTACACGTGTGTTTACAAGTCATACAGTTTTGGTTTGTTTTATTTTTATGTTTTTGACTGGGTAGTCATGTTCCTTTTTTAAAAAAACATGTATTTAAAAATTGTTAAGCCATATGTAGTTGAGTACCTCAAAATCCAATGAATAATACAAATATTCAGCCCATGTTAGTCCATTTTTCCACTTTTGGTTTACTTTTGGTTTATATTAAAATTTTAAAAAAATTCTGGAGACACTGTCAGCTGTTTAAAAGTTCATACCAAACCAAAATGTGGAAATGACTCTTGCTATGACTAAGTGCCACTGAAATCGGTGCAAGTTTTCAGAAATTCACTTTATAAAGTACTTTTCCTTAATTGCAAAAAAAAAATTAAGTATTTGAGTCTTCAAATATAAGGATTGTAATAATTTTTTAAAAACACATTTAGGATTGAAATTAGAACCTTTGCTAGTAATTTAAATATAGATTGTATCACTTAATTAAGTTTTACCAATAAAATTTCATTATTCCCATTTGCAGCAGATCTACTACATTTTGTAGGTTTTATTAAATAGAAAATAAATCACTTGCACCTGCTTAATTTGTGTCTTGTTTTTGGTTCTTCATCTTATCTATTCCTTCTCTTCCTTTCTCTAGCAGAATCACAATATGCCTGCAGTAATTCTGTATGGGTATGAAATACAGTGTGCTAATGACATTTTATGTTAGAAGTATGAAGTTAGTGAAACATGCTTAAATGACTTTCAAATGAAAATATGAATTCAGATAACTTGACAGTCTGTATTTATAAGATATTGTCCCTACATATGTAAAAGTTGTAAGAGAGATTGGCTGTTTCACCCTCCTGCCTGCCTGAAATGAAAGAAAATTGATGGCTAGAAGCTTAAATGGCGTATCTGAAACATGTTTTGATCCTAACATAGCCATAGGCAAACATGCTTTAATGAAAAATGTAAAGACAGATAGAAGATAGAAACATAGAAAGATTTAATGCAGATTATTGGACATAATGTCATAGTTTAGATTCAGTTTTAAAGAGCTGCCAACTATTTTAAGCTTATGCCTGCATTTATAGATGTTCATTGATTTTATGCTAGAATTTCAGAGGACAAGAAATATAGTGTGTGTTTGTTTTCTCTTTTACATGGCATGAGGAGTTATTAGAATTCCTCAATATCTTACAGGAAAACTAGGAGGTAATATTTCTGAATAAAATCATATTCTTCCACCAAAATGAAATAACATCCTTTATAGCAAAGAGATTTCACTAGATTGGCAAATGACAAGTACTTTTAGAGATAGAATTGTACTTTTCTTGTTTCTTAAGAGGGAAATTATTACTGATACCTTTGCTGTGAATATCAGAAAAAATGAGTTTTGACATCCAAAAAAATTGCATTACTAAATTAAAAATAGTAAATGAAAACAACTATTATTCTGGCTTAAGAAAAAATAAGGAATGTATACCAGACTGAAACGCAGACATAATATTTATGTAATAAAGATTGCAAGACATTTTAAATACAGCTTTGTTCTTAGTATTTAATTCTTTTTCCAAGGTTACCTAGAATTTAATTCTTAAAAATCAATTCCTTACAGGTGCCATACTAGGCAGATCAGAAACACAGGAATGCATCTTCTACAATGCTAATTGGGAAAATGATAAGACAAATCGTAGTGGCATTGAACTGTGCTATGGTGACAAAGATAAAAGAAGACACTGCTTTGCAACATGGAAGAATATCTCTGGATCTATTGAAATTGTGAAAAAGGGTTGCTGGTTGGATGATATTAATTGTTATGACAGGCAAGCAAACACGACTATTTTCATATATTTTCTTTTTGATGAGTTGTATAAGCATAGGCTATTACGCAAAATTTATACAAGGTAAAATTCCAAACAAATTCCTTAAGGTAGGTGATATAATGATCCTTCATTGTTGGAGGTATTGCCACATTACTTTTCAGCTATTTCTATTTTAATGCCAGATTTGTTTGTTCATTCTTCTGTGTAGAAATTATCTAGTTAGTTTTATGTACATTTTGTGAGACTTTGTTGATAAATAATAGCCAAAACCACATTGGAGGTTGTTTGTTTTTTTCCATAATAAGTAAAAATAGGGTAAAGGTCCATTTTTCCAAATCTGCTTTTGATTTGGTAATCAAATCGGAACAAACTAGTGCTGAGTTAATCTGGTGTGGAGAAAATTGTTCAGATCCACAGATCTGACTGGTGAGATGGTCCCTGCATAACTGATCTAATCGCATGAACTGCTTTGCTTGCAGATAATGCAGTATAGTATTAAATTTAGGCTGAAATGCTATTTGGAGTCATAATTTAAATTGGGAGTGAGCTGAAGCTCCAGTCATTTCTATATTTTTTTCTACTAATTTCTTGCAGGTCTTTTCTCAAAGTGGAAAGCAAGAAGCTCACATGTTAGATGTGTAGAAGATTTGTACTGTTATTTTAAGAGATGCTTCAGATTAGCATGATTAGCAACCACTTTATAAGAAGCAATATGCAGTCTGCTGGTATCATTCTTTTGATACAATGTGATTTGTGCTGCTTTTTATGTAGTACCTTTTCTATTATTCCCTTTCATTATGGAAGCCAAATGAAATTTTGATGTACTTTTGCACAAAATTATAATTACTCAGATATTCAAATGTAGATTCCAGAAGGCCAGCCTTTTAGATTCTATATTAATTTACTCCTAGCAATTTTTGCTGGATTTTTAAAATATAATTGTACCATTTTAATATTTAACTGATTTTAATCTCTTTCAGAACTGACTGTATAGAAAAGAAAGATAGCCCTGAAGTGTTTTTCTGCTGCTGTGAGGGCAACATGTGCAATGAACATTTTTTCTACTTTCCAGAGATGGAGGTCACACAACGTATGTGATATAACTCTTCCTAAAAAGAGTCCTGTAGAGAAATTTGTTTAGAATTTTAAACATATATTAAATATTGAATATTGCTTATAGATAACATATATTTTTCTGTTATCCTCATTGGATGACAATAATTGTACATGAGGAAACATAGGAAGGGACCTGGACACAGCAGCTTGGTAAGATACAATGCTAAACAATACAGGTAGTCCTTGACTTACAACCACACTTGGTATCAGAATTTCCATTGAAAGTAGGTCTGATCATAAATCAAGGCATCACATGACTGGACTGAACCAACTTCACAACTATTTTTACCACAATTGTTAAGGGAGTCACCACTGTCATTAAACAAATCACATGTTTGTTAAACAAATCATATATTTGTTAAGCAAATCACACAGTTGTTAAGTGAATCTGTCTTTCACAATTGACTTTGTTGGAAACCAGAGGTCATGATCATATGACTGCAAGATGCTTGAAAGCATCTTAAATTTGAGCTGGTTGCCAAGCACCAAAATAGCGACCATATAACTGCAGAGGTGGTGTGGTGATCTTTAAGGATGGGTGATAAGTCATTTTTTTCTGAGTTTATCATAATTTTGAATCTGTCAGGCCCAAGCCCAAAGACCACACAATGAAATCCAATCAAGTCTAATCTTTTATTTGCTTACATCTAATGGACAGAAACTAAAGCTATGCTTATCTAATAGATATATCTTAAGAGGTTCTAAGGTATGGCTACTCTAAAAGTTACTACCAACTATCCACCCCCATCTATTTGGGGAATTTGCAGTCTCTAAATTTGGCCGCCTCCAGAATGTATTGCTGTGAAACCTCTAGGCTACCAAGATTCCCCTCCATTGTTTCTCCAGATGCACATTCCATCACAAGTGTCATTAAATGAATGGTTGTAATACAAGGACCATCTAAAGTTGGATTAGGTTGGAAAAAGCGTTGCTGAATTTTGACCTTATGTATCCCAACAATAATCTATATCAGCGGTCCCCCAACCTTTGTGGCTTGGTGGCCTGGCTGGGAAGGGAACAGGGCAGCCCTTGAAAAGCATTCGGAGACTTCAGCTTGTCCAGAATGCAGCCGCGTAAGCGATCGTGGGTGCACCTCGGTTCACCCACGTAGCACCTATCCTTTCAGTAGCCTTTTCAGTAGCAGCTTCGACCCTCTGGAACGATCTCCCCGTGGAGATTCGTACCCTCACCACCCTTCAGACCTTCCGCACAGCCCTCAAGATCTGGCTATCC